CACTGCCCAAGAATGCCATGCCCAGCTCTCACAACTCAGACTGAGCAGGACACACCCATGAGCAGTAACATCCCAATGGTGGTTCTGTCTGTCCTGATCATTGTGCAATCAACAGAGACCGCCTCCCAAAACAGGAACTTGATGATGTCAAAGCATTCAGCCCTCCAGGCAATGACAGAAACTGAGCTGTATAGTTGTCCCCTGTCTCCCTGAAATCTCTATTAAAAGGAAAACTCTTCACCTGAGCACTTACTGTTATAAAAGACACCCTGATGTTCTTTAAATTCATCCAGGGTCGTCTGGAACTCAACATATCCAGTAGATTTCCTAGAACACAGAGCAAGAGGAAGATAGTCTCCTAGACATCTGTCCCATCTGTCCCTATTCCCACCCACAGGATATGACATCCAGCTGTGACTCTTCTCAGCTGTATGCGATGCTCATACTGTCCACAGGTCTGACCTCATTAACTCCAAGTCCTACCCCAGCTCCTCAGAGCTGCCGGGGTCACCAGAGGCCATTGCTTTCCTCTCTCATATTGGGGGCTGCAAACCCCTGGTCTCTTGACTTTCTTTGCCTGCCTCAGACCCTTTGCCTGCTGGAATGAAACAAGTTGTTTTCCTGTGTCTGCAGCTGCTTTGAGCACAAGACCATCATGAATTCCTGATGGCAGGGGAGTGATTTCTGGTGCGTTTTATAGCAGGAAATCTCAAGAGCTGGGGCATGGCTATCAGTTAAGAATCCCTATATGAACTTCCCTGGAGCACAATAAAGTTGACATTCTTGTTTCAAGGTTTACCTGGGTCCCTGTGTCTCTGTGTCTCTGTCTATGTGCGTGTGTTTTTTAAATCTCCAGCCTAGTTCTCGGCTCACGTACTGTCCCGTAGTGCAGGCGCTACACTCTCAGGCCTCAATCAGCAGGAGCAATTGCAGTCTCTATGTATGTGCTATGCTCCTGGCCGCCCTGCAGCTGCCACGTCCTAAACTGAGTGACTCAGGAGGCGGGGCCTGCACGCTCTCACTGCACAAGATTCTACCATGATTTGCATCACTTTGTTACCATGGAGCTGAGTGGAATGTGCTAAGTATTGGAATTAGCCATCCTGACTGTCACTGAATGTGAGGAAGCTTTGTCCCAAGAGAGAACACTCTCAGAGAAGGGCATGCCTAGCCTCAAACCTAGAACCTAGGCCACCAACAGCAGCTCCCTCCCTGTTACAGGGCTGTACCTTCAGCTCAGGCTGACGTTGGTCAGCTCACACTGAACTGTCAACAAAGCAGGCTTGCCTGTCTTCCTTGGGATGTGTGACTTGGTCTCCATGACTGTTCTATCAGATCTTGGCACTTACTATAAGTGCAGAGCTCCATGAAGACAATGATGTAATTCTCAATTGTATGACCTCCAAAATGAGCATTGTTTAAAACCAAGCACAATTTTTAGAAAGTAAAAGTGAAGAAAGATGCAGGGTTTATTGAGGGCTCCTTTGTCCAGAACCAAGCCCAGTGACACCCACTACAAAAGCTGTAGCTGATGCAGGCCATGGAATAGGGCTCAGCCGTGAAAAGAATGAAGGTTTGACCCAAGGGTTGGGGGCTAGGGAGTCAAAAGGGAGGAGAGACCTGGGATGTAGAAAGGGAGAAGGCTGGAGGAGGGGCACATGAATCTAGCTGGGTCTCTGAGGAGGAAAAGGGAAGGTGGCCTGAGGGTGCTGAAGATACCTTGGTCATTGCCTTTCATTGGCTGTGATGGGTGCCATCCTCACTATGTCTGGGCACATCACAGCTGATCCCAGAAGAAATGTCAGGATGAAGCTGATGACCTCCATAGGTCTGTCTCAGCTCTGGCCATTTCTAGCCTGTGAGTTGGATCCCAGTGCTCAGGAACACTCAGCAGACCTGAACTGAAGCCCTCTCTGGGGAACAGTCCTGGGTGCTGAGGAGCACCGAAGGGTCCTAAACACACGGACTAAAGAGAACACAGACAAGGCAGCACCGCTCCCATCACCCACAGACTGAGTAGGAAGGGGACTTCAAGGTGTGAGGATAAGCAGAGGCCCTGGAAAGTTGAGGGGTTGAAACAGGCAGACTGCACAAGTCAAGCAGACACATTTGGAAGCGTTCTGTGGTCTTATCACCGTTGGTCATCTTCCTAGGGTCTTCTGGGACAGATAAAGAGGTCAGTAAAGATCCTGGAATGTGGCATCCATGAGCAATCCTCAGACCCACTTCTGAAGCTGCCTATGTTAGGGGAATCCATGGCATTATGGGCCCTCACTGGTCTTCCGATATGTAAGTCTTTGTGTAGAAGTTTCTTTCTGAAGAGTTCATTAAGAATCTGATCTCAGGGGCTATAGAGATGGCTCAGCAATTATGAGCACTGGGTGCTATCCTGGAAGACAGAGGTTCAGTTTCCATCACCCATACAACAGCTCACAACTGTCTACAATTCTAGATTTAGGGGATAGGACTTCCTCAAACAGACACATATGCAGGTCTAACACCAATGCACCTTAAAAAAACAAAAACAAAAAAGAATCTCTGATCTCTGCCGGGTGTGGTGGTACACTCATTTAATGCCAGCACTTTGTATGCAAAGGCAGATGAGTCTCTGCTAGCTAGAGGCCAGTCTGATCTACAGAGTAAGTTCTGGGACAGCCAGAGGAAGCCTGATTTGAAAAACCAAAACATAAAAAAACCCTATGATGTCTTGTATATCGTCACCTTCCAGGTCAGTGTTGGTTCCAGTCACCTCTTCTGTAGGGCCTGGCACTAAACCCAGGAAAAACCCAGCCTCTAAGTCAAGCCATTCATAGATCCATCATCTCAGTGCCCTTCCTCATAATGGACCCAGACTTCAGTTCTGCCCGGGACAGTCCATTGTCTACAGGTGATGGACAGATAGACCATCACAGGCCCTGCTGCTCAGAGGAAAGATGATGCCAATAGACAAACCATGCTGGGCCCAGGATGCCCAGAGCAGGTGCCTGCAATCTGGGTGACTTCCCTCTGATTACACCAGCTGGAAGACCACATTGTTGGAAAGATGGAAAGAGATGAAAAATAATTGCTACAAAACGCCAGCGCCAGCCAAGGCCAGGCACGGAGGCTTCCACAGGAATGACAAGTACACGTGGCACAGTAGGAACCCACTGCACATGGAGGCTTCGGGACCCTCCTCAGAGAAGAGATTACATGGCCCAAGAAATCTGCATGGGATACCTCTTGTGTCCCAAGGACGCCTGACATTCTGAACCAAACCCTGCCAATATCAGTGGGTCCAGGAAGTTCAAGGTCTGGATGGAGTTACCCTGGTACCCAATGAAGTGCGGTTGATTCTTGCCTCCTCCTGGGATAAGAACCCATCATCACAGCTGGCTTTTCATACTACTCAGTGTGACCCTCATGGTGATTTGGGGAAGTGCACTCATGACATTAGAATGCACTGGCAAGGAAATGCCCTGGAGATGGGCTGTGGTGGCCTCTTTTTCTTCCTGGTGAGTTGGCCACTAGTCCACAAGGACAAAGGGGTAGAAATGTTAACAGAGAGATGTTTTCATTTTATTTTACATACAGACTGGTTTCCCCTCCCTCCTCTCCTCCCAGTACCCCCCCCCCCTTCTCCCCATCCCTCTCCTTCCACTCTTCCTCATGGGTATGAGAAAAGCACAGCACATCAAGTTGAGGTAGGGTCGAGTTTTTCCCCTTGCGTCAAGGCTGGGCAAGGTAACCCAGCATAAGGAACAGGTTCTCCAAAAGCAACCAAGCGCTGGCGACAGGTCATGATCTTACTGCTAGAAGCCTTCAAAAAGAGACCAAGACACACAACTGTCACACATGCTGAGGGCCCAGGTTCAGTTCCACGGAGGCTCCCTAACTGTTTATCTTGCAAGCTCAGGTGAGCTAACAGATTTTTTAAGGCTCATGAACACAATGGAAATCGCCTTCCAGGAGACTGCTTCCAGAGTACGGAAATGTGTAGGACTGGGAACATCAGCATGGGAATCACCTACTCTGCATTAAACAGCATATTCCTATCCCAAAACTCCTAGCACAAGTCTTAGTCATCAACTGTGGAGGCAAAGTCCTATCATCAGGCTCCTAGCACAATGTGAACTACCATCTGTGTAGCAGGGGGAAGCTTCTGCAAGGAACTGCAACCAGCCTCATACTAGAGATAAGTCAGGCATCCAGATCTAGGTAAAATCTCCAACCAAGGTCAAGTAGAGAACAGGGTGTCTTCTTCAGGGGAGATTGGGGAGGAGAGGGTCTTCCATGTTGCCAAACTAGGAGAGAGGAGCCAGGCCAGGTAGACTGTCACCTCTGGCGAGCAGGGCCTCCCAGCAATGGGCGACCTCCAGATAGGTAAGGTCACGTCAAGGAGGATTGCATAGACGACTCACAGCACGGCACATTCTTCGAGGGATCTTCCTAATAGTCTCCTGGTCCTAGAACAAGCCAGTACTCTAATGGATGACACCCCCACTCCTGCCATGGCCACCAGGTGATCAATGCCTGCCATTAAGCCCTCCTGGGACCTCACTTCAGGCCTGGAGCCCCACACACCCATCCTCACACTCGTCCCATCACACACCAGCTGGCAGTGAGAGGGCACAAGCACAACTTATGAGAGGCACCTGGGCTGCAACAGCTTTGCAGACCTGCACGCAGGCCATTGTGGCCTTTGCCAAGAAAAAAACACCTTGAGAACCAAGAGGAAGCTGGGAGCGTCCTAGCTGCTTTACCACTCCAACTCCTCCTCTTCCTCTTCCTCCTCCTCCTCCTCCTCCTCCTCCTCCTCCTCCTCCCCCTACTCCTCTTCCTCTTCCTCCTCCTCTTCCTCCTCCTCCTCCTCCTCCTCCTCCTCCTACTCCTACTCCTCTTCCTCCTCCAAAATAACAGCCAAGTCTCTGGGCTGTGAGAACATCCTGCCGAGACCCCTCACTACCCACAGACACACAGAGACACCAGGGAGATGATGAAGTTCTTTAATGAGAAGCAGGGGAGTGGGAGGCAGAGGGAAGGGATGGGTGAAGCCAGAAGGGAGAGGGAGGGAGCACTTCTGTGTCCTGCCCTCAGGAGGTCTGGGTGCAGCAATGCTCTGAGGCAGCCTGGACCCCGGTATCCCTTGCTGTGGGAAAGAGGAGAGTCAGTGGAGCCAAAATGATTCATGCAGGGGGAAAATGTGGGGATGCTGGCGTCTCCACTCACCAGACCCAAATAGGGCATAGGTCATTTCCCTCCTCCCCTCTGCAAACCCCATCCCCACAGTTCTCCATGCTCATGTGTGAAAAGGGGACAGATAATTTCATGGCAAGAGCATGGCAAAGGAATGAAAGGATACTGTTGGACTCAGGCTCTGCCCACACATGCGCAGATCCACGTGGGCAGATCTCTGAAAAGCATCTCCTAAGCATCACACAGCAAAGAGGAACCCAGGAAGGCTGCTAGACCCCAGGCATGGCTGCCATATCCTAAAAGCAATCCATGCTGTGAATAGAGTCAACATGGTAACTAAGGGGAAGGGAGCTGCAAGGGAGGGATTTCCCTTCTGCACAGAACTGCAGGGGATGCATTCAGAGAGGCATTCTCTCCAGTTGCAAACCAACTGCAGGGTATCAGTGAGGGATATTCCTAAGACCAGGAAACAACACCCCCGGAGCAAAATACCCATGGGTAGAGTGTGTTCCAGGAGAACAGGCAGTACCTGTCCACACAGGTAGGCAAAGGTTAGAACACAGGGTCTCCAGAAGCCCCAATGACTCCAGGACCATGATTTCCTCAAGTGTCCCACAAAAATGACCACTTACCCTAATCGCTTCCGAGAGGGCAGGTTTCTGTCCAAGAAAGAAAGAACATGATTCAGAAGGTCCAGGGAATTCAGTCAGAAAACCAAGGCCCTCCATCAGCCAGCATGTATCCCACCCACAAAGAACAAAGCTGAGTGAGAGGCAGCCTGTTGTCCTGAGGGACTGGCTGCCTCCTTAGTGTAGGGTGGGAGAACATGGCAGCTTGCTTCCTACCACTCTGTCTGGGGATGAGGATGCTCTCTGTGTTGAGGCCTCCAGCCTTCACAGCATTCTGAAAATCTTCCAGTGCCTCCTGGTGGAGGTCATGGTCTCTGCCTATAGGAGAGGTCAGGAGGGACATGGTGTCAATGGGGGAGCTGATAGAGCTTCCCTCCCAGCCCAGGGAACCAAGCAACTTAGGGTGAAGTGGGAGGCATGGCCCACCCAGGTGGGGACATGAACCAGGGCCTGGATGAGAGAGGAGAGAGCAGGAGGGAAGAAGGACCAGAACAGCATGGTCATCTCTCCATCTGATCTCAAGGACAAGGGCATTGTGCCTTCAGCTCCCCTGAGTTTCTCTCAGGGCAGTTGAGGACACTGTGACCAACCTCACTCCGGAGGAATATGTCACCCTTGGCTGAGGGCTCCGTGCTGCCTCTCTGCTCTTTGTGGCCAGTGCCCAGTCACAGGGAGGGCTCAGGAGGCTCTGGGGCTCTTTCCCAGGCAAGAAGGACACAAGTATGGGCTGTGATTGGGGCTGGTCTTTATATGATGGATCCTGTTCTGTACCCATCCTTATTCCAGCTGGAACCCCAACAGTGGTGAGGCCCCTTTCACCCTGTGAACCCTTGGCCCATTTCACAATAATGGGACTCACCCACGAGTTTTACAGTTCGGAATTGTTCCCCGTGTATGTTGTTTTTCCAGTAGAAGATGTAGTGATCCTCCACAGCAGATGGTATGATGAAGAGCTCCTGAGTGCCCCCATCTGTGGAGGTAGAGTCACACGGATCCTTAATAAGCACCCTGCCCCTTCAACAAGGATCTAAGGGTGTCCTGGAGCCTCTCAACCTGACTTCCTCCCAATTGCTCAGATCTTACTGCCCCAGCTTCTCCACCATCCCAGAGCCTCAGTTAGAAGGAACCTTCATTTCCATGGGAGCCACATACATGGGATGTCCATGTCCCCAACCTGTGTGTCATACAGGAGGGTCTGCCTCTGGAACCAGATATATCCCTCTCCTGACTCCCTCCAGGAGCTCCCCATAGCCTACAAATGGGACAACACTGGGCTGTTCTGTTGACTAGTTTTATGTCAACTTGACACAAGCCAGAATTATCAGAGACGAGGAAAGCCCAGTTGGGAAAATGCTTCCATAAGATCAGGCTGTAGGTTAGCTTGTAAGGAACTTTCTTACTTAGTGATTGACAGGGAGGGCCTAGGCTAAATGGGGCCACCTCCATAAGAAAGCAAGCTGAGCAAATCAGGAAAAGCAAGGAAGTAAGGAGCAAGCCTCCATGGCCTCTTCATCAACTCCTATACCCTGCCTTGTTTGAGTTCCTGTCCTGACGTCCTTTGAAGTAAGCACCAATGTGGAAGTGTAGACAAAATAAGCCCTTTCCTCAGCTTGTTTTTTAACACAGGGTTGCGTTCCTACAACCATACCCTAACTAAGACAACAGCTGATTCTCATGTAGGGACCCATCTACCACAAACGATGTAGTGTTTGGTGTCGGCTGTTCCTGTCCCATCAGGAAAACTGTCTCATGGGAGCGATCATGGGAATTAACAGGATTAGAAGAAGCAAAGGTCCTCAAGCCATGGGTCACTGTGGGATGGCCATACTGGTCTCATGTGTGTCAAGGAGGTTGGGTACAGCCCTCACAGGCCCAGGGACTCACAGGCTGTGTATTTTATAGGCACAGATGTCTTCTCTAGGACAGTGTTCATCTCGTGGCATCGTCCTTCAATCCTGGAACACAAAAGGTCTGTGAGACACACTGCCCAGCCACACAACTCTCTTCCTGGCAGCACACACAATATTGTCTACAGGTGCCTGGTCCCAAGGTGACCAAGGAAGTGCAAGCTTCACTGGGTCCCAATTACATTACCAACAGGCCTCCTGAGTCACGTGCTCAAGTCCCCTGACTCCCACAATGGCTCAGTTTTGTGTCATGTAACCTGCTGGCTGCACCCCGACAGCCTCTTGCTCACTCCCTCAGAGAACCTGAGCTACTTGGTTGGTAGACATCGTCTGAAACAAATCCTCCCTTCCTCACCTGCATGCTGTGTGACTCCTGGGGCTCACCCTCTGTCTCTGGAGATACTTAGGTAGGAGCCCAACAATCCCTGTCACCTGGCCATTGAGGAAACTTCTCAGAGAGCGTGATTTGGGGAAAAGAACAAAGGGCTCGCTCCAGGGTAGCTGACAGGACAGGGGCTGCCCAAATGCCAGACCTTGTAAAGACATCTCAGACACTGTCTTCTTCAGGAGCTACTAAAGCGACAGGAACCCAAATATGAGATCAGACAAGAAGGTAGAGGCCACAGGGATGGGAAGTCACACAGGTGTGAGACAGCACAGGTAATAGTCTTCAAAGAGAAGAGGTCACACACATGACAGGTCACACCAGCGACTGGTCCCAAAGGTCACACCAGTGGGAATAGGCTGGGATTTCAGTGTCTCTGCAGAACCTGATAAACTTTCTCCCTGGGGTGCCGTACATCTCTCAAGTGTTGTGAAATCCTGGCCCCTGCCTCCCTTACAGGCAGAATTTTACGCTAGAGAGAAAACAGACCCAGACTGAATTTTTACACTGGATTCGGCACTGAAACCCTTCTCCAAGGGCCTGGGTCACTGACAAAGGATGTCCCTTGAGAATAGAGAGTGGGTGCCACTTCCATATGAGATATTTTCTCTGCACCACTGACTGTACCATGATCATTTCTAAAGTGAGATACCCTCAGTGGTTCTGTGGTCCCAGTCCCCCAGCTCACCCCATGCACCCCACTCAGCCCCCAGTTCTCCTATGTCGCAAAGGCCAAGAAGAATGCTACCGACTCAGTTGGCACACACTCACAGGACAGTGAAGTTGACTTGCAGGTTGCCCCCTTCCAGGGTCTTGATGGTCATGGGAGTCACAGACATAGACCTTAAATCCAGGCCAGGAATCTCCTTGTCAGATGCTGTAGCTTTCAAATACCACATTCCTGTCAGCTGGAGAAGGCACCCGCCCATCAGGACTCAGGTAGACCCCAGAACTGCCCCTAGTCCTTAGCCCCTGTCTCTAGCTTGCCTCCATGTTCTGGACATGTGAAGCGTTTCCCCTTCTATCAATCCATCAAATAAGCTAGTTCAACCAGGGCCACAGCAGTGTGGTCACCAACCCTTGCAGGTGTGACACTATCACAGACCCTGCACTCCCAGAGCACAGTGAGGAGAGATGGACTCTGGACTCTGACCTCCTCCAGCCCTCTGCACCCAGAACCCTCTGACCAGATTCCTTGTGCTGTGTCTGGCATTCCCTCAGAGTAGGGGTTCAAGCCTGGCTCTGAAACGATGTCTCTTTAGATGAAGAAGCAATGGCCCCTCCAACCCACAACCTCAACCCCCCAATCTGCCATAACCCTCCTCGAAGCCCCTGCCCTGCTCAGCCTCACATCTATATTCTCTTCTGTGACACGGAAGGCCTGGGCCTGCAGGGCAGCAACAAGGCTGAGGCCAAGGCACAGGATCAGGGTCTTCATCTCCAGAGTCTGTGCTCACAGGTACCCAACAAGTCACTGGGCTGGCTGAGGAGGCTGTGCTGGGGCTCCACTCAGCTGCCCTTTATACTGCCTAAGCCCAGGGTCCCCAGGAAGTTGGCAAGGATGACTGACCAGTCCCTTCCTGGACATTCACCATGGCCAGCTCTTCAATGGACCAGATAAAGGTTATCATTGTTGGAAATTTCTAGATAACACTCAATACCCAGAGGATGATGGGACAGGGCTCCTTGTTGATTTGCCTTGGCAAGAAAGTGAGTCTGAGGTAGAGATGCAGCCTCCCGTGTCAGGAGCCCTGAGGGTGAGAAGAGCGGGATGAACCCCTCCTGCACACAGTGCGGTCATCCAGCTGGCTGACACGCTCATTGACACAGAGGAGATCATTGAAGCCAGACAGTCCTGAGCTCCATTCTCAGGAACCTTCCTGAATCCCAGGGCAGGACACCGAACCTTAGATTCATCTTGGAAAAAGAGGGAAGTGGGAGCCTACTATGAGACTCTCAAGGTGTGTGCCTAAAGATGTGTCCCCTCCTCAGCCAGGTGTGCACTAGCCCCTGCTCATATGCAGAACAATGGTGGCTCAGACATAGAAAGAAAGCAAGGAGGCCATATGTACACATCCATGGGACAGAATCACAGACTGGAGCTGGTGGCTCAGCTGTTAAGAGTCCTTTCTGCTCTTGGGTTGAGTTCCTAGCACCCATAGGGTGGATCACAGCTACCTGCAGCTCCAGTTCCAGGGGATATGGTGCTTTCTTCGAGCTCTCAATTACCTGCATACATGTGCTACGTATAAACTCAGAGAGACTTACAGTCTGGTAAAGGCCTAAGGCACATGGACTCCTGTCTTGAAGCTGCAGATGGCTAGGGGTCTTTTTCCTAAGTAGTATGAGAGGATTCCTTGATACATTAGGAGCCTAGAGGGTTCCTATGGCTCCTATACGACACTGTTTATAACTTACTCTCCTTGTCTCCAGCACCTTCCGGGTCTATGTTGTTGTCTGGGCAACCGCGTTGTAGCATGTTCACTCTCTGTGGCCTTTTGGGTGAGGTAAGACATCTCTAGTTCAGTTCCAAAGCTCTTATTCTCAGCCTTGGGTCAGGAATTCTGAATAAATCTCCTCCTGGGATGGGATGTCCTTGTTACCATTTGTTTGGTTTTGCTTTTCAAATTTTTCTAATTCTCTGTACTTTAATATTCAAGAGCATCACGGCTGAGCGGAGCAATGGCATTGAAGGCTGAAGCCCTCAGACTTCCAATGGAATGAAGACTGCAAGGTGACAGAGAAGGGAAAAGTGGGCAGGCAATGTGACCCTCTCCTAAACAAAACATCAGACAAAAGCAGCTTCCGGTTGGCTTACTGGCTAGCAATAAATGTCAACTTGCTACGACTTATATTCACCTGGAAAGAGAGTTTCATTTTGGGAATTATCTAGATCAAGTTAACCTGTAGCCTTGTCTGTGTGATTGTCTTCATTGTTATTGACAGCCCTCTGTGGGCAGCACAGATGTGGGATTCTCTTCTGTCTATGTGTTGCTTTCATTAATGAATAAAGAAGCTGCTTTGCTCTGTGATTGGGCAGAATGGAGCTAGACGGTGAGGGTAGGGTAAGCAGCTGAATTCTGGGAGAAAGAAAGTGGAGTCAGTGAGATGCTTCATAACCGATGCTGAAGGAGACAGACACCTGGGAATTTTACCAATAGGCCACTACCTTGTGTTGGTGTACAGATTAATAGAGATGGGTTAATTCAAGATGTAAGAATTATCTAGAAATATTCATAATCTATTAGGCCAAACAGTATTGTAATTAATATAGTATCTGAGTGATTATTTGGGTCTGAATGGCCCGGAAACGAATGAGCAGTCTCCACCAACACAGCACCATATGGGCCCTGAAGTGTATTGGTGAAGATATCTAGCTGCGTGCTAAGCAAGCTTGCAGCATGTGTGCATTTATTTCTTTTTGTTCTTGACTGTGGATGTGATGTGCCTGAGTCGCCTTAGCTTTCCCTCAGTCATGGACTCTGGCCCATAACTGTAAGTCAGATAAATCACTTAACTCTGGGTGTTTTTTTTTTCTATTTTTGTTTTGTTTTTTGTTTTTACACATTATCTACAATGAAACTTTCCTGTCTTAAGTTGATTTTTATTAAGGTATTTTATCACTGCAGTAGAAATGAAACCAGACTGTTGAGAAATTATTTTATCTCCTGGTCTCTGAGGGTTCACTCTGTGGTCTCTTGAACCCGTGTGTTTAGTCTGAGTACTGGGAACTTGTGGTAGAAGAGGCTTTCCATCTCCTGAAAACAAGAAACAGAGAAACTGAAGAGAAACCAGATCAATTCCTCAAAGACAACTTTTAGTAACCTACTTCATTTAACTAGGCCCTATCTCCTAAGGCTTCCAGAACCTTCTCAAATAATATCAACAGCTAAGGACCAAGAGTATACCACATGATCCTATGGGAGATACTTCATATTCAAACCCCTAAATCCCAAAGACATGAGTGCCTCATAATACAAAATGCATCCAAGAGTCTTCCAAGTTGTCACTGCTGGAGCAGACTTCAAAGTCTGCAGTGCAAAATTTCCTGTGAGATTCAAGGTAAACCCTTAGCTCTATGTCCCTATAAAAGAAAAACATAAAATATCATACTGCCAAGATAGCATAAAACAGAGGAGACATCCCCATTCCCAAGGACTCACAAGAAGAAAGCAGGGGATCAAAGCAAGACTGAACCCAGATGGGGAATCATTAAGTCCTATCGTCTATGTCCTGCTCTTGAGTCACACAGTGTGGTCATCACAGCTCAGACAATCCTGGGAAAACCAACCCCTAAGATGCTGGTAGGTACACCCTGGCTTGGGGATACCTCTCTGGGGCTGGTTTTGTTTGCTATCTGAAGCTCTTATCAACAGAGAATTTTCATTCCCTACATCTATAAATTCCCAAGGTAAGTAATACGTCGTCCTCATAGTTATTCTCCCAGGAGCTGCTTGCAGGAATTCTGAGTCTGCTGTTCATTGTCTAGCCTCCAGGACTTTCTCTGAAATCTGGATGCAAGCCTCCACTTCTAGGTAAACGTGGATTGTGCATGCCTGCAAAAGCCTCACTGCAAACGCAGTTCCTGGTCCTGCCAAAAGGGCAGCAGATGGGCCGCCTTGGTAGCAGCAGCCTCTGAGTACCTGGTTACTGAGGGAAATTGATCTGGGGAAAACAACGTCTGAGTCAGATCTATCCACGTGAAGGAAATTCTTTCAAATGAATTTACTCTTTTGTGCCCATGAGTCTGCAGTAAGTGGGGCCTCACCAGTTCACCAAGGTATGGTTCTCATTGTCTCAATTAAAACTATTTGATTTCTTTTCAATGGCTGTGATTTTTTCAGAAACGGTGACTTTCTTAGTTGCAACGTTCCATGAGCTTCTATGATGAAAATGCTAACGTTTCCCCAAGTCTTCCTACTCTGTATTTTGTTCTTGATTCTCTCAGCGAACCCGACCAACAATAACCCTGCTGTAGTCCCGATTCTGGGCTGCCTTGAAATTTCCTCGACTAGATTAATTAGTGTGTCACAGTTACTTCAGCCTTTCCTCAAGACCTGGGACATGAACAAACAAGTTCTCTCCCACAATGTGACACACACTTCCTCAAGCCCAGTTCCCAGTAACGGTTTCATTTTCGTCGATACCACATGAGTGCAGTCTTTACTGTTGGTCTCACGTTCTCACATGAACACTCCTTACATCTTTTCCTCAGAATACTAGGGCTTCTCTAGCCATCGTCTCCAAATTTGTCAGATTTCTCCCACAAACCAGTTACAAAGGCTCCTGAACCACATTGTCAGGTAGCCATGGCAACAAGCCCACTTCTCCAATATTATGTTTTTAAAAAATATCTTAGGGGCTTGGAGAGATGGCCCAGAGCTTAAGAACACTGCCTGCTCTTCCAGAGATCCTGAGTTCAATTCCTAGCAACCACATGGTGGCTCACAGCCATCTGTACTGAGATCTGGTGCCCTCTTCTGGCCTGCAGAAACACATGCAGGTAGAATACTATATACATACTAAATAAAAGATCATTTTTCAAACTTTTATTCCATTATTTAGTATATGTATGAACACGTGTGGACACATTCACACCATGGAGTGCTTGTGGAAGTCAGATCACAACTTGGAAGAGTTCACTTCCAACACCACATAGGCCCCAGTGGCCTGACTCAGTTTATCAGCGTTGGTGGCTGAGACCTTCACCTGTTCACATGTTGAGCCATCCTCCCAGCCCCTGGTCTACACAACCTAAAGGAAGTTAGGGTCCATCTGGCTCCTTGCTTCAGAGACTTCAGTTTGTCCTGGCAAAGGGCATGGCAAACCAGCCTAGTTGCACTGTGAAGGAAACACACCGAGATCTTCCCTCTCTGCTTCTCCTTTTTGAGAACCCATATCTCCCCCCACCCCGTTACTCCCTTCCCCCTACTGAGGGATGAGATCATTTTCTCTCATGCGGCTCTCCTCACTTTAGCTAATCCTCTTTGGATTCCCTTAAAGATGCGTCCAGAGTCATATTTTGCTAAAGTCCTAGGCCCTTCTCCATCTAATCCAATCTCAGACAGGATTCACAGTCACTCTGGGCCTACGTGATGGGTTGTGAGAATATCTTCAGAAATGGCTTTCCCAGTACCAAGTCACTGTATGGAACTATCTGCCGTCCCTATGGATGAGGGCACAGAAGATTCCCCCCTCAAGTATCTGCTGAACTCTAAGAACAATGATAGAAGGTTCTGGCTTCCTGTGGCTCACAGAAAAGTTGTCCAAACTTGTAGATTTCTTGGGTGTTTTTGGTACCCTGTAGCCCAAGCCAGTATTGAAGGCTCAGAGTCGGCTTCCAAGCTTCAGTTCCTCTCAGAATAGTTAAGTCATTCAAAGCTAGCATGACACAGATATGAAGTTGGCTCTGCAGTGATGCAGAAAATGGAATAATTG